ACCCCTGTAGTAAATCCCCAATAACAACTGAGCGGTATTAAGGAATTAGAGGTTTAACTTTCAGCTCTAATCTCTGACCAGTGTAACAAAGCAAGTTTTCTGTTTTTGCTGGCTCTCATCCAGCTTGAGCACCAACTTTGTCTGAAGCTCCTGAAAGAAAACCGTTAGCGGTTGAAGTGTTGTACGGTCCTCCAAAAAGAGTTTAGGTCTTAACTCCCTGCACATGTGTATGGACCATGTCAAAACCCACTCAGATCACACACAAAAGTCCTCAACGGTCAACCTCTGAAGAACTGCGCACGAAAAGCCACCGCCTCACACGTCGTCCAAATGCTAACAAGGCGACCATGCAGGAGATTAACGTGCCGTCACGGTCACAAAGGAGCGGCATCAGAATATGACACGTCCGCCCTGAACTCGGTGACTCGTTGGTATGGATGCTGGCACGGCTCCAGCATTGCCATGATACTCTGTTTGAGTGTCAGTCTGTCTGTGTGTGTGTGTATTTTAATCACCATCACCATGACAAATGGTGAAGCTCAACAAACGCAGCAGCCATTGGTGCTTTTTGGGGCGTCCTTACGCAACCATTTAATCAAATTCAAACTTTCTCAGTTGAAAGCAGTTGGTAAACAGTGTTGAGAGCCAAACACATTCAGGCACGTCTGAGTGTGTGGCTGAGGTTAGTAGGTTTGGTTGTTTTTTTTATCCACTGACAACTGCATTTGTAACCTCAAGACACAGCAAAGGATTAGACAAAAAAAAGAGTCAAATTTATCAAAGCAAAGTGTCCGAGATGTCAAACTGAAACAACCAAAATGTTGTTTGAAGAAAACCAGCTCAACCGTTGCAAATAATACCAGACCAATATTCCAAAATCAGCTAAAACGTGCCAGAAATAGCCTAAAGTTAGCAAGTCAAACAGCCAAAACTAAAGTTCCTGCAAAGCTAAAGGCTGAACAGCTAAAGAAAAACCACATATTTTACAGCTAATTACGAAGGATTCATCAAAGAATAATTAGGAAAAATACAGACAGCCTTCATAAATCCATAAAAGAACCATAGGTCAGAAGATAAAGTTAAAATGAAAGTTAGGTTAAAAAACTAATAGAGTAAAAAATGTCTTGAAAAGTACAATGTCCCAGTCTATTAGGAGACAATAAAAATATTTTGTGAAAAAGTGTCGTCTGGGCCAAAAAAACCTCGTACGAGCAGATTTCGATCTGACAGGAGTTTTTCTCATAACTGTTCCGACAGATGTTGTGTAGAAAGTGACGCTCGTCCCTGCGCCTGAAGGTCTGAATGCACTTGTGACACCGAGGAGAACTGTTCTCGCTGTAAAAGGCCGCTGCGATCCCACAGCCTTCCCACATTACACACGAAATCTGCGTCACTGGGATTGATGTAGACTTATACAAAACACAACACTTGTCACAGGAACAACATAATCCAGATTTCCCATGAAGCCCGCAGCCTGGAGGCTCCCTCTGACCCACCGTCAGTGGCAAAGTGATTATGGCGTTTTAACCGAGCTGTGATGTGTTAGAAAGGCAGCGAGAGAACAGTGTGGGCCCAGAAGACCAGTCTTTAAAATCAATTTTTGTTTTCTCAATAACGCTGAGATTACAGCCAGAATCCAGATGTCTTTCCTCTCAGGTTCTGCAGAGGGTTCTTGGAGTGAAACCAGCCAACGCTGGCCCTGATACAGTGATATGTTGTATTAAAAAAAACTTTTTTGATTGATTTTACAAAGTGGATATTTCATGCATGATTTAGCAGCTGAGTGACTTGAACAGGAAATCCAATATTATGTCCTCCACAACAGTCAGTGACTGGGTTTTAAATTAAAGTCTTAAAAAACATTTTTATAGTGTTTTTCTGATTATTCCATTAAGGAAAATGCAACATGATAAATGTCCATGTATAAGAACATATACACACTCCCTTTAGTCCTATGACATCTTCAGGTTTGGCAGCAAACCAGAGGATGGACCAGTTATGACCAATCATTTAAGTGTTTTTCTGATTATTCCATTAAGGAAAATGCAACATGATAAATGTCCATGTATAAGAACATATACACACTCCCTTTAGTCCTATGACATCTTCAGGTTTGGCAGCAAACCAGAGGATGGACCAGTTATGAACAATCACTTACAGAATAATTGAAATTAGCTAAAAAAAAGTTCTACGGTTCTCTAAAATCTGAGTAAATGATACAGTAAAGTTGGCAAGGTGAAGGGATAGTTCAAAATGAGCTCCAGAAAAGCCAGAGGACAAAGACAATCGATGCTAAAAACAAGCAAAACAAATCAAATAATTATATTTTTTAAAAGAAGAAGCTAAAATTCAATGTTAGCTGAAAAAGATGTAATCATTGTGGAACTCCAAGGCCGTCACGTGACAGGACAGACTCTCAAATTTAACTCGCATGTTTTTTCCTCAAACAAGCACCAGTCGCTGCAGACGAGACAAAACCTCCCTCTCTGTTTGCATATCTCCTCAAATGAGTTTCTCCCGGACACGGACACTGATGTCTAGATTTTAGGCCACCAGCGAAGTAGGTTAACCAAAGTCGGGTTCTTCTGAAAGAGATATTTACAAATGCTCTGCGACTTTGCAAGTCGGGATCTAAGTTATGGTGAGTCACAAAGCTGCAAAAGTCACGACGACGCTATCAGAAAATTAACACCGTCTTTATCGAAGCCTGTGCCTGTGGGGGGAGACGTACACATGCACATGTACAGTAAACAGAAGCGAGGCATGAACATGTGCATGGACTGCACACTCACATGCACTGTGGCACGGGCTTGGATGTTTCAGACTTTAAATGGAATGTTGAATTCCGGCCAGAATCCAAACAGCTGGTCCTTTTAGAATCAGAGACGTTAATGGACTGGTTATAACAAGAACTTGACCCCTGACCTCGGGGCCTTTTCTGGGCTCTGTTGTCTTTTTTCTTGCTCCTTCTTCTGGACTACAGTACAAGAGGAGGGGACATTCCATCTTCAACATTCTTGGACTTTATTCCTGTTTTCCCGAAAACCTTACAACAGAGTGGGATTCCCACAGAGATGAAGTCCAACACAAATAAACTTCCTTTATACAATTCAACTTATGTTTGGTGCGAAAATATTACCAAATTTAAAAAATAAATAAAATAGATTTTTAGCAAATCTTAGCACATAAGTTCCATGGGGTTTGGTTGAGATTTGTAAATGACTAAAACACTAAATCTTTTTTCTTTTTTTAAAGTTATTGAAATGTAAGCAAATCTAAAACCTTAATAAATAAATACAATTTTAAATGTCAGTGAGAAAAAATATCCAAATGTGATGTAATAAACTTCAGAAACAGCCCTGCTCCATTGTTTTAACGCTGTTGTCAGCGATGGATGTCCTTTGGCTAACTTCCTGTATCTGTCTGCTGTCAGCTTTTCCCCCCCTGCTCCTTAAGTCACCTCACGGGGGCTGTTTGGTGAGTGGGGGACATTTATTTACTGACAAACACACTGAGTTCACCAGCACAGAGGAGAGGAGGAGGAAGAGGAGGAGGAGGAGGAGGACCACCTCTGGAAAGGTTTCTCCCTGAGATTAACTGTCAGACTCCTGATACTGATGTCACTGCCCAACACTCTATCAGTGTTGGCTGTAACAATACAGAGCTATTTAGGTACAGTCGTCAATGAGAGCAGCCTGGACGGTAACAGTCCTTATCAGGGGTTAACACTTGGGAATTGATGTGAAGTTGTTGATTTTTTACCCATATATATATATACATACGTTTATACTTCCTGTGAATTTAGTTGTGGTTAAATCACATCCCGTGCAGTTTGGACCTTCAAACTTTATAGGACTACAATGGAAATATCTGCGTTTAGTGACATCTCTTAACCTGAAGGATGACCCTCTCCCAGGTTGCAGTCCAGATGTCCCTTTTCCCGGCCACTTCCATCAGCTCCTCCACTAGGATTTCCAATCGACATATCTTTAGTCTGTTCAGAGATCTCCTAGATTGGTATCCCAGGAACACAATAGGAGGCGCACGTCTCCTTAACCAAAGACTGACACCTGCTTTTGATTTTGACCTCATCCAAATTGGAAAAAAAATCTTCTTGGCTCTGCTTTGTCAGCTCCAGGTACCTGTTTAGGTTAGATGGTCCAGGATCTGGCCACTAGGATTACTAGGCCTGTCCGGGATCGGGACATGGACCTTGACTTTTGTATCACGAGAATCCTCCTAGTATTAGCTCTGCTCAGTTGTTGTATCACGAGAATCCTCCTAGTATTAGTCTTGTTCAGTTGTACTCCAACTCCAGAGAACTTTTCTCAGCTGTCTTGGGCTGAATCCAAGACAAAGGATTCTCAAGGAAAATCTTCACAAAGAAAAGGCAGGGACGAACATTTTGGAGTAAAGTTTACTCTTTTGCATAAACAGACATCATGCAAATGAACGACGAGGGTTGTGGACCATCACGAGGCCAAAGACAGTGGGAGAGAAGGGAAATGGGGAGAACATGTGGAGTCCATGTCAGGATGAACGACTGATCTCCATGATGTTTAGGTTATGACACCATCACTGTCAGCGGTAATGTTTATAAAACCCCAGTGATGACATAAGAAGATCCCTTTGACAAAGTTCTCACTTTCTCCGATGATGGATCTCTGTCACGGAGATAGCGGGGGGGAAAAAAAGTGGAGGATTACACTGTAAAGTGTATCCTGAACTCTGTCTCCTCTTTGTAATAAAGCACCTGTCATTGTGTGTGGTGGTATCAGAAGGTGCAGCGACGAATCCTGGGCAAGAGGGAAATTAAACGCACACGTTTAGACAAGCTTTGGTGTGTCAACACACAGGCAAGGAGGGCAGGTCAACGGCATGAGCCTGTAAACTGATCCTCATAGTCTAAGCACATCCTCTGTGCTGGGGTCCCCTCTCTGCCAGGATCACACACACACACACAAACACACACACTTGTTCGTGCACATACTCACATTCCTCTGCAGACTCTGTAAGGGGCAGGCGCAGTGTGCTGGAGGCTTGGAGCGGTTCTTCCCAGTGAGCGTCTCTCCTCACTCTCTCTCTCTCTCTTTCACTTTCCCCACAGTCGTCAAGTCAGACAGCAGAGGAGGCAGGGACGGCAGAGAGACCCGGGGAGGTCTGACGACACCATCATCAGCTCACCTTTTCTGATAACTCCAAGCCCACTGAAACCTCCTGACATCTGGACGTGATTAACGCCGGAGCAACATCAAGGTTTTATGAGCAGATAATGTCAGCAGAAACCTTCCTTGGCAGGACAAGTTCTTAAGAGGATTTTCTGCTCGGACGTAGCATGTGTTGCTGCGGTACAAGACTCTGCAGTGGCTTTTAGGGCTGAAGGGTCAGTATGAAGATGGATGACACATGTTCAAGGCCAGCGGTGATCTTCACCGTCTTCTCTTCTAGTTCTTAAGACCAGATCCAGCCAACGAAACCAGACAAAAAAAAAAAAAAAAAAAACAGTTTCTGCAACCTTGGATTTAAAGATGCTTTGGTACAACTTTGGCCAGCACTTGTTGTCACTGGCGGCTCTTCTGGTAATCGTGAGCTGTGGAGGAGCAGAGCCAAGGAGAGGGCCGGAGAGCAGCACAGGTGGCAGCAGTAGCAGTAATTACAGCAGCAGACGTTTCCACAGGATCCAGCACGGCCAGTGCACCTACACCTTCATCCTGCCAGAGGAAGAAGGAGCCGGAGGAGCCCCCTGCAGGGAGTCGAAAGCCAGTAGCCCGCAGAGAAACGGCAACTCCTTCCAGAGGGACTCTCCGCTACCTGAGCAAGAATTTCCTAGCCAGAAGATCCAGCAGCTTGAGAACATAATGGAGAATAATACACAGTGGCTGCAGAAGGTAAGAAGAAGCCCGACTTTTTTTTTCATTTCTTTTTTTTAATGTGAAATGCAGAAAGAATTCTGTTGATTTTCCCGTTGGTCAACAAATTGCATCTGGAGCATCCTTGCATGAAAACGTATCCATTCCTTTTGAAGTGTTCACGCTGCAGCACATCGTTTATTGTACTATTTACATGTTCATGGGTGTGTGTGGTCTCTGCAGAGCGTCTGTTTGTGGCTTCACAGGATTACTTGTTTTGGTTTCTGGACCAGGCTCTCAGACCGTGACTGAGCCTGTGTTTGGTCTGTTTTCTCGTCTTCAGCCAAAGAATCCGCTCTGCTGGGGACGTCGTGTGTTTTCGTAACTTGGTTCTTTTTCTCCTCAGAGATAAAATTCTGAAATCAAATCACTGCATTTAAAGTCTGCAATCAGCCGGAATTATTGCCACGGTTTGCAATAACGCTCCGAGTTTGTTATATAACTGTGGACACGTGGTGCTGAACTTTTTGTTCCGACTGTCACTGGTCGTCTATGTCACTGCAACGACAACAAACGCTGTTTGCTGTTGTTTTCCTGAGTAAATGACACTGGCTGCGACCACAGTTAGAGTGGCAGCAGCGTCGGGTGCAGAGCGGTCGTAGGCAGTCGTATGTCAGTCACCCCCTGATCTCCAGTGGGCTGTCTCTTTAATGGCAGGAAGTCAAAGGGGTCTCCCGAGAGACTTTCAGAGGATGAAGAGAAAGCTGCCTTTATTAGTCCTGGTGAAAGATGTGAGTACACCACCAAAAATACAGGGTCACGTGACAGCAAGAAGAAATTATTACACCAATTACTGCTTAACTGGGAAAAAGTGTCTCAACCTATGGTTGGCGGTCCACTGCTCTTTAACAGATGCCAAACAACAGCCAAAAATAATCTCGATTAAGCCGTATGCTAAATATAACATTTATAATAATAAATCTATGTACCGTTTGTCTCGTATACTAAATACCACAAAGACCTTGAGCAGCCTGCTTCTGTTTGCCAGGTCTTGGCCTGTAGGTGGCCAAATCACTGGTATCAGACTTTCACTTAAACCCAGGGGTCCTTCGTTTCATCCACGCATCATTTGAAACAACAAACAAAACTTTGCAATATTCAAATCCTTATCGACATCAAGTTACATGGAAGAGAAGGCACATAGGAATTACTCAAGCAGAATTCTGTAATGAGTCAGTTCATGAGTAAACCATCCCGTCCTTCCAAATGTCTGGACTGCTCTGCTGCAGAACCTGCTGCTTTTCATTTACGACCACAAAACAAATATTTCAGACCTCAGGACACAGGAAAGAGTCATCATTCCTCATCAATGATGCTTTTTGGTGGAAATACAGTACAGCATGTTAAGAGCACGACATTGATAGAGGCTGGAAGAACACGCAGTGAAACGTGTTTGAGGCTAGTCCATTTCACATTTACTTCCCAAAAAAAAAAGTTTTTTAAAAAATCAGATTTTCTTTTCTCAGTCCATCGAGGTCCAAAATTTTGATGAAATATTGGAAGGGAGAGATTTTCAAGAAGGAGAATCTGCAGAGCATCAGCTAATGCTTGGGGCTGTACATCAGCACCACTTTATCTGATGGATCTCCCGTAGCTGGTGTGTGTCAGTGTTGTCGGCTACACATTTGTGTCAGTTAGCGCACGTTCAGGACAGAGGAAACAAATACATCAGCAAAGGTAAGGATCGCAGGTTTAACTGGTGACATAAAAAACCTGGTTTTTCCTGTCGAGGTCCCAAAAGTGGTCCATGTGTGGAGGGAAAGGGCAAGGGTGAAATAACACCGGCTTTATCTTTACTCACTGGACCTCATCGGTCTGAGATAGTACAAGTGATACTATAAAAACACAAGGGCAGTAACGGGCAGACTTAGGCTTTGACTAATGACAGCTGCTGGAAAGTTTTTCTCCTCAGAAAAACGTGGGCAGATGCAGGCTGTGATATTATTACACTTCAGCAGATGATTTTCATTAAAGAAAAAAAAAATTAAATTATGTTCTTGCATCTGCAATCAGAAGTACATAATTAAATATGTAATGTTTGATGTCTCCATCTTGGTTTTTTGGCTGGCTTTTAGTCTTTTTTTTCTCTCCTTGTGTTTACTAAATTTTTACAATATAGAGACACGTTTTAATAGTTACCAGCAGCACAACCTTTATGAGAGAGTGAGCTACTTAAAAGCATTTTTTTTGCTAGCGTGCAGCAACTTCTACTTGCATTTACAGCTATCTTTTAATGACCTTTTAACATATTTCTGTTATATATTATTTTTTTGGTTATATTTTGTATAACTGCCAAACTTAGGCTCATCTAATTGTTTCATTAAGCTTATTGAAATGATTACTTTTTGGTTGTTTTAAAATAAAGACTTCTGGTTTCTTTGGAACTGACCATTAGTAAGCATTTGGATTGATTTGTTTAGGTATTTGGGAGTTTTTCACTAGCATTCTTCGTCTAAATATTACCCTAATTAATCACACCACTTTCTGGTGAGTTAAATGAAAAGACTTAAGTCTTCTGTTATAGAGTATATATTTACAGATCCCTAGTTTTTCTTTTGGTCAAACTCTAAAAAGCTGGAAATAAATAAAGTGATAAAGTACTTTACAGAGAAATTCAGAGAACCTCATGATCAGATGGGGAGCAGTTGGCCCCTGGGTGATTTAGCATTATCAAATTTGGCCCCACTTTGAAAATAGTTTGGACACCTCTGCCCTGGAAGATTGCAGTTGGAAAACGGCCCCAAACAGAAAGTGAACAGATCAGCATAAGAAAGAAATTGGCATCGGCATTTCAGGGGTCGCTTAAGAACACAATGGTAATTCAGGCTAATTATGCTGCAGGGGGGGGATACACACACACACATACATACACACACACACACACACATCAGGATGCAGTTAACATTTTTTCATTAGGCAAGAGATTAAGTGTGCTGGTCCTGGTCTATCTGTCTTAATCACACCAGTGCTTTTGGTGCTTGTCTGAGAGTGAAAGTCCCCGTGATGTTGCTCCAAACTGGCAGTGATGAAAGAGAAGCTTAGAGGAATCCAGGGTTCCAGATACCGACTCAAACCACCACCAAGATCATG